AACCCCCCTGTCATTCCTATTTATCTCAACACTGTTGACAGTGTATAACCCACCTGTCATTCCTATTTATCTCAAACATGTTGACAGTAGATAACCCACCTGTCATTCCTATTTATCTCAACACTGTTGACAGTAGATAAACCACTGTCATTCCTATTTATCTCAACACTGTTGACAGTAGATAACCACCTGTCATTCCTATTTATTTTCAACATTTTGACAGTGGATAACCCACCTGTCATTCCTATTTATCTCAACAATGTTGACAGTAGATAACCCACCTGTCATTCCTATTTATCTCAACACTGTTGACAGTGATAACCCACCTGTCATTCCTATTTATCTCAACACTGTTGACAGTGGATAACCCCCCTTTGTCATTCCTATTTATCTCAACCTGATGACAGGGGATAACCCACCTGTCACCCCTATTTATCTCAACACTGTTGACAGTGGATAACCCACGTGTCGTTCCTATTTATCTCAAGACTGTGACAGTGGATAACCCACCTGTCATTCCTATTTATCTCAACACTGTTGACAGTGGATAACCCCCCTGTCTTTCCCTATTTATCTCAACATGATGACAGTGGAAAAACCACCTGTCATTCCTATTTACCTCAACACTGTTGACGTGGAAAAACCCACCTGTCTTCCCTATTTATCTCAACACTGTTGACAGTGGATAACCCACCTGTCATTCCTATTTATCTCAACACTGTTGACAGTGGATAACCCACCTGTCATTCCTATTTATCTCAACACTTTTGACAGTAGATAACCCACCTGTCATTCCTATTTATCTCAACACTGTTGATAGTAGATAACCCACCTGTCTTTCCTATTTATCTCAACACTGTTGACAGTGGATAACCCACCTGTCATTCCTATTTATCTCAACACTGTTGACAGTGGATAACCCACCTGTCATTCCTATTTATCTCAACACTGATGACAGTAGATAATCCACCTGTCATTCCTATTTATCTCAACACTGTAAAGTAAAAGGACACAAGTGCAACTAATGTGACATTTATTGTGGCAACGTTTCGCTCTCCAGGAGCTTTATCAAGCCATTACAAACAATACATGGACACAGAGGGTATATAAAGGCTCAGAGTGAGGTGAATACTAGTGAGGTACCATTTCGATGTTCACTAGTTGTAGTAGTAGTAGTAGTAGTAGTAGTAGTGGTAGTGACAACTTAAACAACGCCTGTGTACAACACCGAAATTCCACCAAACATCTTATGAAATTCAGAGACGCCCAATTAGTGATAAAAGAAACTAATTTCCGCACACGCAAGTGCCTTGAATCAGCACTGATCGCTGTTTCGAATACAATTAAACAAAACAACGGCAGCTTCACCTCTCCGAAGTCTTAGCAAGAATCCTCCTGAAAACAGTAAACCCTGCCATCACATGTCTCTCCTGTTATATACACAAAGCACAGAGAGTGAACACTGAAACAAGCTGCCTCATTCCAGTCTATATTTGTCCAACCTATTTTTATGTTACCCAAGTAATAGTTTTTTATATCCTTTTACTCATGTACGAATTAATTGCTCTCCCATATTGTATTACTTTTGTCACTATTTACTACTACTACTACTACTCCACTAGTGAACATCGAAATGGTACCTCCTAGTATTCACCTCACTCTGAGCCTTTATATACCCTTTGTGTCCATGTATTGTTTGTAATGGTTTGATAAAGCTCCTGGAGAGCGAAACGTTGCCACAATAAATGTCACATTAGTTGCACTTGTGTCCTTTTACTTTACATATTGTCGGTAATTCTACCAAAATTTATTACTATCTCAACACTGTTGACAGTGGATAACCCCCCTGTCATTCCTATTTATCTCAACACTGATGACAGTGGATAACCCCCCCTGTCATTCCTATTTATCTCAACACTGTTTTTGGGCAGTGGATAACCCCCCCTGTCATTCCTATTTATCTCAACATGTTGACAGTGGATAACCCACCTGTCATTCCCATTTATCTCAACATGATGACAGTGGATAACCCACCTGTCATTCCTATTTATCTCAACACTGTTGACAGTGGATAACCCACCTGTCATTCCTATTTATCTCAACACTGTTGACAGTGGATAACCCACCTGTCATTCCTATTTATCTCAACACTGTTGACAGTGGATAACCCCCCCTGTCATTCCTATTTATCTCAACACTTTTTACAGTGGATAACCCACCTGTCATTCCTTTTTCTCAACACTGTTTACAGTAGAAACCCACCTGCATTCCTAAATTTTTTCTCAACACTGTTGACAGTAGATAACCCACCCGTATTCCTATTTTCTTAACATTGTTGATAGTAGTAACCCACCTGTCATTCCTATTTATCTTAACACTGTTGATAGTAGATAACCCACCTGTCATTCCTATTTATCTCAACACTGTTGACAGTAGATAACCCACCTGTCAAATTTCTATTTATCTCAACACTGTTGACAGTGGATAACCCACCTGTCATTCCTATTTATCTCAACACTGATGAAAGTAGAAACCCACCTGTCATTCCTATTTATCTCAACACTGTTGACAGTGGAAAACCCACCTGTCATTCTATTTATCTCAACACGTTGACAGTAGATAACCCCTGTCATTCCTATTTATCTCAAACACTGTTGACAGTGGGGTAACCACCTGTCATTCCTATTTATCTCAACACTGTTGACAGTGGATAACCCACCTGTCATTCCTATTTATATCAACACTGTTGACAGTGGATAACCCCCCTGTCTTCCCATTTATCTCAACACTGATGACAGTGGATAACCCACCTGTCATTCCTATTTATCTCAACACTGTTGACAGTGGATAACCCGCCCGTCATTCCTATTTATCTCAACATGTGACAGTGGATAACCCACCTGTCATCCCATTTATCTCAACACTGTTAACAGTGGATAACCCACCTGTCATTCCTATTTATCTCAACCCCTGTTGACAGTGATAACCACCTGTCATTCCCATTTATCTCAACACTGTTGACAGTGGATAACCCACCTGTCATTCCTATTTATCTCAACACTGTTTACAGTGGATAACCCACCTGTCATTCCTATTTATCTCAACACTGTTGACAGTGGATAACCCACCTGTCATTCCTATTTATCTCAACACTGTTGACAGTGGATAACCCACCTGTCATTCCTATTTATCTAACACTGTTGACAGTGGATAACCCACCTGTCATTCCTATTTATCTCAACACTGTTGACAGTAGATAACCCCCCTGTCATTCCTATTTTTTCAACCTGTTGACAAGAGATAACCCACCTGTCATTCCTATTTATCTAACACTTTTGAGAGTAGATAACCCACCTGTCATTCCTATTTATCTCACACTGTTGACAGGGAGATAACCCACCTGTCATTTCCCCTTTATCTCAACACTGTTGACAGTAGATAACCCACCTGTCATTCCTATTTATCTCAACACTGTTGACAGTAGATAACCCACATGTCATTCCTATTTATCTCAAAAACTGTTGACAGTGGATAAACCCACCTGTCATTCCTATTTATCTCAACACTGTTGACAGTAGATAACCACCTGTCATTCCTATTTATCTCAACCTGTTGACAGTAAAATAACCCACATGTCATTCCTATTTATCTCAACACTGTTGACAGTAGATAACCCACCTGTAATTCCTATTTATTTCAACACTGTTGACAGTAGATAACCCACTGTCATTCCTATTTATCTCAACACTGATGACCGTGGATAAAAAACCCCCCTGTCATTCCTATTTATCTCACACTGATGACAGTGGATTTAAACCCCCCTGTCCATCTAAATTTTTCTCAACACTGTTGACAGTGGATAACCCACTGTCATTCCTATTTATCTCAACACTGTTGACAGGTGGATAACCCACCTGTCATTTCCCATTTATCTCACACTGATGACAGTGGATAACCCACCTGTCATTCCTATTTATCTCAACACTTTTGACAGTAAAATAACCCCTGTCATTCCTAAATTTATCTCAACACTGTTGACAGTAGATAACCCACCTGTCATTCCTATTTATCTCAACACTGTTGATAGTAGATAACCACCTGTCATTCCTATTTATCTCAACACTGTTGACAGTGGATAACCCCCCTGTCATTTCTATTTATCTCAAAAACTGTTGACAGTGGATAACCCACCTGTCATTCCTATTTATCTCAACACATTGTTGACAAATGGATAACCACCTGTCATTCCTATTTATCTCAACACTGATGACAGTGGATAACCCACCTGTCATTCCTATTTATCTCAAAAACTATTGACAGTGGATAACCACCTGTCCTTCCTATTTATCTCAAACACTGTTGACAGTGAATAACCCACCTTCATTCCTTTTTTATCTCAACACTGTGACAGTGGATAACCCACCTGTCATCCTATTTATCTCAACACTTTTGGGCAGTGGAAAAACCCCCTGTCATTCCTATTTATCTCAGCACTGTGACAGTAGATAACCCACCCGTCATTCATTAATCTCAACACTGTTGACAGTAGATAACCCACCTGTCATTCCTATTAATCTCAACACTGATGACAGTAGATAACCCACCTGTCATTCCTATTAATCTCAACACTGTTGACAGTAGATAACCCACCTGTCATTCCTATTAATCTCAACACTGATGACAGTGGATAACCCACCTGTCATTCCTATTAATCTCAACACTGATGACAGTGGATAACCCACCTGTCATTCCTATTTATATCAACACTGTTGACAGCGGATAACCCACCTGTCATTCCTATTTATCTCAACTCTGTTGACAGTGGATAACCCACCTGTCATTCCTACTTATCTCAACACTGTTGACAGCGGATAAGCCACTTTCACTGAGTTCAGATTTGTTATTTTCAGATCAATGATATCATTACCTTACACTGTTAATAATACTGTTTATAAAACGTTAATTACTTTTGACAAGTAGTAAAGGAGGTGATGACTTACCTGTGGTGAGGCAGAGGAGAGACGTGAGGAGAAGATACAGTAATATTCTCTGATAAAGGAGGGAATAGGAGACAGACGGAAAGGTGAAGGTTGAGAAAGATGAGAGCATTTTCAGGCAAGAGGAGATGTGAGAGATGAGAAAGGAATTGAAGGATGGGCGAGGTGAGGAATAGGGAAATGAAGGACAGAAGGCAAAGATGCGAAAGAAATCTGTGGGGGAACGAAAGGGAGATAAAGAAACGACAGAAGAGACGTGAAGAATGAGAAGAAAGAAGAAGTAGAAGAAGAAGAAGAAGAAGAAGAAGAAGAAGAAGAAGAAAGAAGAAGAAGAAGAAGAAGAAAAAGAAGAAGAAGAAGAAGAAGAAGAAGAAGAAGAAGAAGAAGAAGAAGAAGAAGAAGAAGACGAGGACGGAGACTTTGAGGACCGCGCAGTCCAGTCCAACTCAAGTTTGTTCATCATCATCCATGTGCGCATCTGTCGAGTGAGAGAGAGAGAGAGAGTGAGAGAGAGAGTGAGAAAGAGAGGCACAACATTGGAAAATATTGACTCCCTTCTGCTACAACACAACTGTCAACATATTATAATTGTTGGTGACCTCAACCAACAAACCCTTTTACAGAGGGACTTTGATGACCTTCTTGCAGTGTTTGACATGAGAAACTTTGTTGTTGATTTCCCTACTCATATCTCTGGCTCCTCCCTTGACCCAGTAGTGAGTGATCTGGCAGAAGGCATAGTCACTTGTCAACCTTCGGCTATGTTGGATCGTCTGACCACAAGGCTGTTTTTTACGACACTTAAGATCCCAACAGAACGAGGTGAGGAGTCCACACGCACAACCTGGCTATGGGAAAGAGGTAATTTGGCCAGCCCTTTGCTCTGAGCTCGCCACCACCGACTGGAATGCTCTTCTCCAAGGGGATGTTGACAACCAAGCGAAAGCCTTCACTGGACACATCCTTAATCTACAACAAGAACACATTCCTCACGGCAATATGTGACGAAGCCTACAGATCAGCCTTGGTTTGGCTTTCGTTGTAGAGAGGCTGCTACTGCTAAGTACAAAGCATGGCGAAGGTATAAGAGACATCCTACCACACCTATAACAGGAACTTGCACATGCAAAGCCTGTAGGCATATGGGTGATGTTCAAAAGTGGGCCATTGCTAAATGGGAGGCGGACACTAAAAGAAAGTTAACATCAGGTAGGGTAGGCTCCAAAACCTGGTGGTCCCTGGTCAAGGACAGACAAGGTTATCTGCCTGATGAACTTATTCCACCTCTAAATCGACAGGATGGGACTACCTCTACTAGTAGTCAAGAGAAGGTGGACCTCTTTGCTGAACACTTTGCTACCAAATGCAAGTTCCTGATCCAGCAAGGGCACCTCCTTGGCTAGCTGCAAGAACTGTGTCAAAACTGTCAGTGGTGACAATAAGGCAGGAGGAGGTGCATTTCCTACTTAAATGCGCTTGACCAAGAAAAGGCTGTGGGCCCAGCAAGTTGAGCCCAGATTGTTGAGAAGATGTGCAGACCAGCTAGCAGCACCTCTAACTCGCATCTTTCAGCACTGCCTAGTACAGTGTAAATGGCCCCTCTCTATGGAAAGAGGCAATGTAGTCCCTGTTCACAAAAGAAGAGCAGAGCAGAAATCAGCAACTACAGACCAGTGTCACTCCTGTCAATCACTGGGTAAGATCCTTGAGACAATAATCTCAAGACAAATGACAGTTTTTTGACTACCACTCACTACTTTGTGATCGTCAATATGGCTTCAGGAAAGGTTACTCTGCTGCTGATCTGTTGTTAAACCTCTCCACTAAGTGGCACCAGTCACTGGATGAATCCAAAGTCAGCTGTGTGGTGCACTGGACATTGCTGGCGCTTTCGACCGGGTGTGGCACCAGGGCCTCTTAGCAAAACTTCAAGCACTGGGAATTGCAGGCTCTACGCTATGTCTCCTCAGTGATTACCTTCATGGTAGATCTCTAAGTGTAGTTTCTCAATGGAATGGAATCAGCAAGACATCCTATTGGGGCAAGTGTTCCCAAGGAAGCGTGCTGGGTCCATTGTTATGGAATGTCTACTTCACACGACCTTCTTATCTCATCCCAGAATCACATGCATATGCAGATGACTGTACACTGACATTCACTTATCCAAGAGAAGAATGCAGGCTGCTCTAAGCTACATCAATCACAGCTGAGAGCTATATCAGCTTGGGGAAATAGATGGCAAGTAACATTTGCACCTGAGAAAACGCAAATGATGATCGTCTCTAGGAACCATGATGGTAATGCTGGTGCAGTAGTAAGGATGAATGGGAGGATGTTGGCACCTGGAGAAGAAGTTGATATCCTTGGGGTGAAATTTGACTCCAAACTAACCATGAAGAACCACGTTGTAAATCTTGCAAACAAGGCAGCCAGGAAGCTTACAGCACTTCGCCCGTATCTCCCATCTGCTTGACAGTAGGTGTTGCAAGATCCTGTACGAGGCGTAAGTACGCTCACACCTTGAGTATGCTCTCCACTTTCTTGGTTTGCCTGCCCCCCCCTCTCATCTCCGGACTGCTTGACAGAGTAGAGAACAGAGCAAGACGTCTCATCTCTCGCCTGGACCATCCTGGATAGATCTGTCATTTCAGCAGAGCCTTCAACATAGGAGGGATGTGGGTGGCCTTACTGTTATGTACAAGGCCAATATTGTCAAAGTACCATACTTGGATCCACTTCGAGGACAGCGTGAAACAAGCTTTTATGCCACAAGACGGGCAGAAAGCAGCAACTTCACTCTGGCTATACCCTTCTCCAGAACATCACTCCATCTGAGATCATACATACCCAGGATGACTCGAGTATGGAACACATTCGTACAGCATAATGATGTCAACGAGATGAGTCAGTTGATCAAATGAAAATGCTGGCCCACAGATGGCTCCAACTTCATCCTGTTCCCTACTTGTATGTCTCATAACAATAAAAATGCTTTCAAATGAGCTGATGTAGGTAACAGCTCTTAGCTTGCCAATAAAGTTAGGAATCCTTAACCTGTAATATAGCTGTCAATAAAGCTAGGGATCCTTAACCTTGTCAAACCCTGTGTAAAAAAAAAAAAAAAAAAAAAAATTGTTCCACTTATGATGAGTGGAGAGAACAACTTGCCCCTACAGGTTTAGCGCTCCACGGGACCAGCAACCACCATCACTGCTAGTTAGTGTCATATTGTGTTCTCTTTACTGTGTTCTCTTTACTGTGTTCTCTTCATGTTTGACGTACGATGACGTACGATGACGTACATTGATGTACAGTGACGTATAGTGTCGTACAGTGACATGACGTGTCATTGGTTGAAGTACAATTATTTACAGTGACCTGGAGTGGCATACAACGAAGTGCGATGATGTACAGAGATGTACAGTGACGTACAGTGACGTAAAGTGACACAGATTGATAAAGTTGACGTACAGTAACGAAAACTCACGTACGTCAACGCAGAGTAACGTATAGTGACACTTAACGATATACAATGATGTACAGTGACGTATATTAGCGTACAGTGTATTACAGTAACGTACAGTAATGTACAACAAAGTGTAGAGTGACGAGTAGTAGCTTACAATGGCGTATAGTTACGTACAGTGACCTACAGTAACATACAGAGACAACGTAACTTACAGTAACGTACAACAACGTACAGCGACGTAAAGTAACGTACATTGACATGCAGAATCGTTCAATGATGTATTGTTGTATACAGTGACGTACAGCAATTTACAGTGGCTTACACAAACGTACAGCAACGTACAGCAATGTAGATTGACTTACACAAACGTACAACAATGTACAGTGACTTACACTAACGTACAACAACGTACAGCAATGTACAGTGACTTACACTAACGTACAGCAACGTACAACAATGTAGAGTCAAATCCGAATACAGTGACGTACAGTAACGTACAGTGATCACAGCAACATACAATGTAGAGTGATTCACAGACTATAGTACAAAGTGACAGTAACGTACAGTGACTTTCACTACATAACGTACAGAAACGTACCTAGTTAGAGTGACATATATGACAGAAACGTACATGCAAGTACAGTAACGTCCAGTGACTACAGCTAACGTACAGTTAATGTACAGTAAGTCCAATGACCTACATTACATATCAGTGACGTACAGTAACGTACAGTGACTTTAGTACATCAACGTACAGTAACAAGTAATGTAACCTACACATACAGTGACTAAGTATAGTACATACAAACGTCTACAGCAAATGTACTAAAACGTCCAGTGACCTACAGTAACGTACAGTGACCTACAGAACGTCAGTGACCACACCAACGTACAGTGACCTACAGTAAACGTACAGCAACGATGTAATACCTACAGCAACGTAACAGTGACCTAGAGTACATGTACACCACTGACCTACAGAAACCGTACAGTGACCTACAGCAACATACAGTGACCTAGAACAACGTACAGTGACCTACAGCAACGTACAGTGACCTACAGCAACGTACAGTGACCTACAGCAACATACAGTGGCTAACAGCAACGAACAGTAACCTACAGCAACATGCAGTGACCAGAACATAGAGTGACCTACAGCAACTACAGTGCTACAGCAACCCGTACAGTGACCTACAGCAACATACAGTGGCTAACAGCAACGAACAGTAACCTACAGCAACATGCAGTGACCAACAGCAACATAGAGTGACCAACAGCAACATACAGTGTCTTAAGCAACATACAGTGACCTACAGCAATATACAGTGACCTACAGAAACATACAGTGACCAACAGCAACATACAGTGACCAACAGCAATATACAGTGACCAACAGCAACGTAAAGTGACCAACAGCAACGTACAGTGTCTTACAGCAACATACAGTGACCTACAACAATACACAGTGACCTACAGAAACATACAGTGAGCCACAGCAATGTACAGCAGTGTACCGTGACCTACAGCAACGTACCTTGACCTACAGTTACGCACAGTGACGTATACCGACGTACAGCGACGTACAGCGACGACACACTGCACCATTACAACGCGACATTAAGCTGTGACGCTGAACAACCACCATTAAATATTAAATTCATAACAGACAAAAAAACACAGAGGTTAGTCGCCTTTACTTTTTCTCGTCCATCAATTATTTAGGAGGAAATCCGCTGATCATTAATCAGGATTACAGAGTTTGTCTCTCTCGCTGAGTGCCACTCAGTGCCACTCAAATTTTAAAGGCGCTGAATATGTTATTACCCAAATAGACACTTAATATTTTGAATATATATTCGCTGTTGTTTATATTTCTCCCCCTGTCTCTCACCGCCCTCCCCCCCGCCAGTTGTTCTCTGTCTGTGGTGTTTTTCGATCCTCAGATGGTAACTAACGTTTTGTAAGATTCGCTCAGTTGGGACAATATCGTCTTAAGTTCCT